TGGTCCCAAGTATATAAAAACATAGTAAAAATACCCTCTATAAATGCACACCCTCTCTAAATGAACATTTTTAAAAATTTGTCTTATGGTCCCAAGGGGGTGCAATTATAGAGGTTCGACTGTATTATTATACTGTATAATACAATATATATTATATATATAGTACATTATACGTATGTCGTCACATTACACATACAACATTATGCATACATCGTTGCATTGTAACGTTACTCATATATTATTATTAATACTATGTACTGTAATATGTATATACGTAAAAATAAAAAATAATTAAAAAAAGCTATAACGATAATCAACCCTTCCAGAGCAATTCAAATAACTTGGAATGTTTTCGAGAAGCAGACTACTTATTCTTTCTAACCTTAATAAAGGTAAATACAGAAAAAATTAAATTTTATTTTGATAAGTGTAAAACAGTATATTAAAATAAATAATTAATTAGTTAACAAAGCCAAATATACATATGGAATCCATACAACTGCTATCTTACAAAGCGGAAAGGTCGTTGAGGCAACCTCTAATTCTTTTAGTAATGTGGTTTTAAATGCGAAAGAACCAGTGATTGTTGATTTTTATGCAGAGTGAGTTGAAGGATAGTTAGAAAGTTATGCGGTGGTAAAAAAAAAAAAAAAAGAATTCTTTAAAATCCTATTGTAAATATAAATTGATCGTTCATGGGCAATTGTAAATCAACAGTTGGTGTGGGCCCTGCAAGTTGTTGGCACCGATTCTTCATCGTGCCGTTACCGATAACAAGAAAGTTACCCTTGTTAAGATAAATACGGATAAGAACCAAGATTTGGCCGAAAGATATAAGGTAGTCATTACCATTGTAACTCAAGTTCTCGAGAGAATATAATTCCGATAAAGTTAGCTGACGTTTGCTACAATGTTGGTTGGTTTAATTGGAAATATGTTTTTTGCGAGAAAATGACTTTCAAAATATTATACAGTAACCAGTCTTACATATTAATCGATTGATTTTTTTTTTTTACTAAAACTTGGGATATTTGCGTCTTAGATTACTGGACTTCCAACGGTATATTCATTTCACAAGGGAAAACCTGTGGATCATTTCATCGGCGTGAAATCAGAAGGAGCAGTTAAGGAATTCGTAGAAAAGGCAGCTTGTTTAGCGGATTAACATTATATCAGCATTATGCAGGTAATGCCACACGAATAAAATTAATTGATTCTCGTCACATGTTAAAGTAAAAAAGCACCCGGGACCCAGCTGTTTTTGTATAAACTTAAAAAAAATGGATTATGAAATTTTTTTTAATTAAAAATAGCAATTGACCAACTCAATTATTGAAGATAAGCTAAATTTGTCGTAACGTTTATTTTCAATAATATACACGGGAATAGTTGCTTTTCAGTACGTACGTTTTCTCTCGGCACATTATTTTATACAAATGAGTTGCAGATTATAAAGTTAATGTGCTACAAGTTTTTTTAGATTTCCTGCATTGTAATATTTACATACAAGAGTGAACCCGTTGATTTGCAACATAAGACTTGAAAACCACCTGTGGGCGTATGTACATACTCATTTTAAGATAATTGTGATATGCGTTGAATTTCAAAAAAGGAAATTTCAGCAATAGACTATTTCTGATTGTTGGTCTAATTTCTTCATACGTATAACGATGTAAATCTTATTATTATTGTTACTGAAATTTTGTGTTTTCGGCGATATTTCTTTTTTTATTCTTATTAGAACTTCGATGCTACACAGGAACCATGTTGTTTTGTAGGGGTGATTTTATTATTAATATTTCGTAAGTGCCTATGTGCTGCTCGTTGCTTCGCATTACTGCTCATTGCTGCTCATCGCTGCGCTGCTCATCGTATGTGAATACCGCTCCATTCCATTTCACTCAGGAATAATGATCTTATTTCTTTTGATGTTCAGTCGATCTGCTTAGAAATTGTTGATTATATACTATGTACTTTGTTTCGAATAGATAATTCTGTTATTTATTCAGTCTGTTTAAATTAGATAATTCAAATTAAATTGTGATTATCGATTATGCTTTTATATATTTTTATTTTCTTTATTCTCTTGATATTTGTTTCATTTGACCAAATAAATAAAATATGGGCCGCAAAATCTTTTTATTAATTAAATGCATATTACTATAAATGTAGAATATACTTCAAAATTTTTGTTATTACAATGTTGTGGCTGAAATTGATACCTGATTGAAGTTGCAACTTTGGTTGACTGAAGTTACACCTGGCCTAAAAGCATTCTCAAATGCCTCAATCAGTGGGTCAAAAGGTGTTAGTGAATCAATTTTGTTATTGTGATAAATACTTAAATAATAATTGTAAATTAAAAATAAAGTTTATTATGAATAAAATATTTTTATTAGTAAAAAAATATTAAACAAGTTTATTTTTTAATTTACAAATTTTTTAATACAAATTATCTTTTTTATACCTGGCTTGGTAAAATTTATCATTAATTATATATTCAAAAAAATTACTCAAATAACTATTATATAGATCCAACTTTTATTATTATCAAATTATTATTTATTTATTATACTAAAGTTTTTATGAAAAATTAAAAATATCAAAAAGTTTAACTACAAGTACTTGTTCTTGAACTCAGTATAAATTACCAAAAAAAATAAAAGATTTAGTAAACAATATGCTCAAGAATAGTGTTTGTAGTCGATATTGTGTTAGTCGATTTTATCGGCTTAGCCGGCTAAGTCAGCCGATTTTTCAAAAAATCGGCTTAGTCGATTTAATATCAGGTTATATAGAAATTATAATAATCATATTCAATTGAGTACGTAACAGTTCGCATAACTGATAAGTTAGTAGTATCTCACGTATAGGGATGTTAAAGTGTCTGTCCGAACTGACCCGACTCAGTATCAATACAACTGATAAACTTAATTGTTGCATATTGCTCTGAATTGGGTAAATATCATATGATATTACTAAAGTCAACTTTAAATGACTCGACTCTGACTCGAAAACTGAGCTATTTAACATCCGTACGAATGTATGTACATTATCAAGAATTCTAATTTTTTGCAACTGGTTATGTACAAACAATAATAAAATTTATATAATAATAATGCGCATGCATTCACATAAGCCAGTTTTCTTAATCGAGAAGATAATTACTACGTACATAGATGACTGCATACAAATTCAGAATGCACAAAGTCCAAAACCCTATCATTACGAGCAATATTATACTGATCACATTGATACGCCATCACTGTAGACATGTAGAGAAATTCCTTTATATTTTATACCTGTTTGATAAGTGCTTAAATCTTCCATTATACATTAAACAACAATGCAATCAATAAAATGACAAAATCAAATAAAAAAAAACGAATTTTTTGTTTAATAAAAATTTTTTAATGCAACTTCATATGCCCCATAGCCATTCATAATAATCGAACTTCTTTGCTCTAAAAAAAATTATTTAACATGATCCACTCCATTTTAGCTATAGCAAACTCTCGTTATAGTAAAGATTCGACATAATAAGAATTTGGAACCAAATATTGTCAATTA